ATAAAATCTTGAAAAGCAGTGTTGCAGTGATGAAACTTACCTTCTAAGAGGGAGTGATCTCGAACTGCTTCGGCAGCTAACACAGACTTCCCACAGCCCGCCATTCCATATATGGTGACCCACCCTGGCTCGCCATTCAGCTTCCAGAGCTTCTGCTGAATTGCCTTCACCAGCTTCTTTCTAGTCACGAAAACCACCGGCCTCTGTGGTACTCCACCTTCACACAGCACGGTCCTCACTGAAAGCCGAAACAAGTACGGATGAACAAAACTTCAAAACTTGTGAGTAATCCTCCTGGAAAACCAGGGTAAGTGAGGCTGATGTTTAGCCTCAAACTTTCCAAGATGAATATCAAAATTTTATAAAAAAAAAAAAAAAAATTAGGTATGAATTTCACCCTTCCAATGTCTCATAACACAAAGAACAGGAGTAAGCATTTATTCTTCAAGATCACGACACACAGTGGAAGTCTCCATCTATCCCTGCCTTACACAAGATTACTCCCTAACCCTCCAGCCTCTTTTATCTGTGTCGAACAAAGGGAAGGACCAAGGATATAGTCCAGCGGCAGAGTTTGCAAGGTCAGGGTTGTGGGTTTGATCCCAAGTGCCACAATAAAGAAAACAGGGGAAGGATGAGGGCAACAAAATGGGTCAACAAGCAAAGGCACTCGCTGCCAAGTCTAGGAACTGAGTTCAACTCCCGCAAGTCGTCCTCTGACTTCTTCTTGGGCTCCATGGCTCAGACCACAACTAAATGTAAAACACACAAATAAAAACCTTGTTAACACTGAAAAGAATGTAAAGGAAACAATGGTTATGGAATTCCTTTCAAAAAACATATAGGTTTCTGGGCTGGAGAGATGGCTCAGTGGTTAAGAGCACTGGCTGTTCTAGAGGACTCAGGTTCCATTCCCAGCACCCACATGGCCGCTCACAATGGTCTGTAACTCTAGCTCTAGGAGATCCAATGCCCTGCCCTCTTCTGGCTTCTGAGGACACCAGGCAGGCACATACATGGTGCACAGGCATACATGCAGGTAAAACAGGCAGACACACAAGACGAAAGTTTAAAAAAAAAAATGTAAATTTCTAAAAATTCTTTTCCTGTCCCATAAACTCTATATAACATGCAAATAAATAAAATGATTGAGGGGGCTGGAGAGATGGCTCAGTGGTTAAGAGCACTAGCTGCTCTTCCTGAGGTCCTGAGTTCAATTCCCAGCAACCACATGGTAGCTCACAACCAACTGTAATGAGACCTGGTGCCCTCCTCTGGCATGTGGGCATACATGGAGGCAGAATGTTGTATATATAATACATAAATAAATCTAAAAAATCAAATGTAAGTGAAATATTAAAAAAAAGAAAAGAAAAGAATTGCGGCCCTGCAAACGCTCTTATTAGCTCTAGAATTTAGAGGGCATATGCCATCCCTCAGCAGTAAGCAGTTCACTGCACGAGAAAAACACGTATCAACATGGACACAAACAATTCCGATTTGAACTGAAACTATTTCTTGCGCCTACTTCCTTCCAGGAACGGAAATACACTCTCCAGCAGTTCAACTGCAATAAAACCTGCAAAGACGGCGCCGTGACATGAGCTATCAGGATACACACCAAATGACGTTAGCCCGCCGTCTGTGTCTTTGCCACTGGAAGAAGAGACGCGAGGAAGGCCACTGTGAAGAAGGGCGGCAAGGTCTTTATATCCCTCATGCAGGAGAGCGTTGTAGAATGAAATGTAGGCACAATTGTCTTTATTAAGTATCATCGTGATTAGAGCAGCGGCCCGTTGGTACTGAGTGGTCTGGAGAAAATGAGATAGCGTAAGGATGCAGCCGTGGATACACTGGATTTTTTTCAACAAATCGCTATCAAAAATCCTCGGAGAAAGCTCTCAGAGGGCTTTACCTGGCTCCTCACTTTTTCCTCCTCGACTACCGTTAAAACGTTGTCACTGATCATGTGATCCATGATGTAGGATGTTTTGATGTCCCTTTCCAGAGCCTCTCTGTGTTGAAGCAGACAATTCCGGGCCTTTGCATCCATTGTCCCTCGGTCTGTGTTCTCACTTCACTGCTAAGCATGAGCTACAAACAAAGTATCAACACACTTGTTATGGCAAAAAACATGACGTGTAATTAAGAAATGCAAAGAAAACAAGATTTTTTTTCGGGGGGAGGGGGTATGAGACAGGGTTTCTCTGTGTAACCTTTGCTTGTCCTGAAACTAGCTCTGTAGATTAGGTTGGCCTCGAACTCAGAGACCTCAGAGATCCATCTGCCTCTGCTTCTCAAGGGCTAGGATTTGCGGCATTTGCCACCTCTGCCTGACTTCTTATTTCTTAATTATGTTTCTATTTAAAATGGAACATTTCTATAGCCATTTAAAATTACATAGCACTTATCTCTATGCATTATATGTACTGACAAGGAAAGATGTTTCGGGCACTGCTGACTTAAAAAAGAGAAATAAACCCCTAAATAGCACAAAATGTGTTCTAGCTCATAAATCTATAAGAGGATGTTTAAATGCTGTTCATCAATGTTTGGGAGGCTGAGTAGCAAGATTTTGGCTTTTTTTTTAATTTTATAGTCATTCTTTTCTATAGACATTGCCACTTTTTACAGTAAAAATTCTTCTTTTCCTTAAGTTGAGGTTCTGTAAGAGTTACCATATCTAAGGTTTTAAAACTTGTTTCCTTTATCCAACTTACAACCAAGTGGCATTGCTGATCTGAGTTCTCAAAGGAGTTGTCAGCCCCCGATCTTCACTGGAAAGCACATACTCACAGAACCACAGGAAATACCCTCTGACGTCATTGCGTGAACTAGGGTAACAAAGGATCATATTCTTTACAGAAGGATATTTTCATTTCCTAACAAGTTCCCTAAAATATAATGGAAATTATTCCACGGGTATAAAGCCCTTTCTGACTGTTTGCAAGTTCTAAAACATTAACAGAACTCCATCCTATGTATTAAAGTGTGAACGTCTTAAATAGGCTTAATCATTCCTTCAATACATGGTGTGTGTGTGTGTGTGTGTGTGTGTGTGTGTGTGTGTGTATTGCTAGGGATTGAACCAAACCGCCTTAATTTGCAGGGTGGGCAAACAATCTACCACCAGTACTACATAATTTCAGCCCTCTTTCATCACATCCTGATACTCATATCCCTGAAGGAATTTACAGTCTAGTAGAACAAAAAGAGAAGCAATCAGAATGTGACTATCCTAATACAAAACCAAAGATGGGCACGAAGTCATTCAGAGAGCTCGGAAGAGGGGTATCATTCAACTTCAAAAATAAAAAAAAATTAAAAAAAAACTTTTTTTTTGGAAAGTCACCAAATGTAGCACTTGCAAAAAAGTAAAAATTTAAAAATTCATCTGTTTGTGCTTGCCAAGGTCCGCAAAATGCCCCGGAGGGGAATGAAGTTAACTGGAGAAAAGAAATCAGAAGCAAGACTACCATTTTCAAAGCTAACAGTTTTAGTCTCGATTGACAGTTGTGAAATTCATCCAGACAAAGGATATTAGGTTATGTCTAACAATTAAGCAAAACCACACTTTTGTAACTAATTTCCAATGTTCTCTAGCCTTATTAAACTTACTAAACACTTTTTTCAAACTTTACACAAACTGAAATGCTATGGGCAAACTCCCGGTGCCACACCTCTGGAGGCCACATCAAAAGAGAAAGTCAAAACTGTTCGGAGTCTGTCTGTCCAGGAAAACAGCGACAGTGGTCTACTTCCTCCTTAGATAGTTTCTCTTCCTGGTGCGGGAGCAGAATGATCAAATATCCCGCATTCCCTTATCTTCAGTTCCCGGGTTCTACAACAGAACTCACCAAGAACCTGTCTGGAAGGGGTGGGGAGAGAGAGCAAGGGGGGGAGGTAAACTTACCTAAAACTTTGCACCGGGGGTCGTGCTGGGAAGAGGAGCCCCGGGAGGGTCCGAAGCTGATGCTCGATCGCCTTAGTGCACCCGGTGCTCTCAGCCGCTCTTCCAGCGACCCTGCGCCCCGGGCAGGTCCCGATACCTAGGTGCCTCACCTGGGCATCGGCCGCTCGGGGCGCAGGGGGATGCCCGGGACTTGCGAGCGACGGCGAGGGTCGGTCACCTCGGCGGGCTGACCCCACCGTTTGCCTCGGACCGCACCCGAGAGACCTCGCTCGACCCAAACACAAAAGCACTGCCTCTCCGGCCGCCGCTTCTCCCCTTAGGCGGGAGCTGCCCGGGCGGGAAGCGCACGCTGCTCGGAAGGCTGCCGCGACGGTCTCCGATCGTTTCCGATCGTCTCCGATCGCCGATCGCACGCACCTCCCGCCGCCGACCCCCGTCTCCTACCCCTCGGAGCGCGGAGAGAGCTGACTCGCCCACTCCCAGCCTCCGGGTATCCGCCTCA